AATTGGGGATGTATTTAACAGAAAATCTTGCCATGTGGCCGCCTTCTAGCGTTTGCGGCTTTTATTTGGCGCACCCCCAGTCGCGCTATTTTAATGTGGGAAAAATTGGCCAAGACCAGTTTGACGACTTGGTGGCGCGCAGTGGCGAAAACCCGCAAAAGCTACAAAGCTACTTGGCTGGACATCTGTAAACAAGCGTTATCGTTAAGTGTTATAGGGCTAAACAATTATGGTCTGGGTAATTCTTATTTGTTTTGGTATGGTGGTAATTACCACACTGGGACAGTTTGAGGTATTTAGGCAATTGAGCAATATACTGCCTCGTATAAACGTGCATAAGCACTTTAAAGTATTAATCGTTGTATTTTCATGCTTTTTTTCGCATATTGTACAAATTTATCTTTATGCACTTGCCATTTATCTCATGAGCTATAAACTTGGACTTGGAGAAATTAATAATCACCAAATTGGCAACCTCAGAGAGCTGTTTTACTTTTCAGCAGAAACATTTACTTCTTTGGGCTATGGGGATATGCTGCCCACAGGCCATATGCGCCTATTGTCTGGCGTGGAAACACTAAATGGTCTACTGCTCATAGGGTGGTCTGCCTCTTTTACCTATATCAGCATGGAACAATTTTGGAAAATGAAAGAAAAAAGACCGCATAAAGGGCAACAAAAGGCTGCATTACCATTGCAGATGAGCGAACCCCCTGCCACCCTTTATAAAACCGAGCAAGACTAGCGACATGCACTACCCTAAACGATTTGACGTGATAGTCATAGGCGGCGGACATGCAGGCACCGAGGCCGCGCTGGCGGCTGCGCGTATGGGTTGCGACACTTTACTACTCACCCACAATATTGAAACCTTAGGTCAAATGAGCTGCAACCCCTCCATAGGGGGCATAGGTAAAGGGCATCTGGTAAAAGAGGTAGATGCTATGGGCGGAGCCATGGCACTGGCTGCGGACGCTGCTGGAATCCAATTTCGTATGCTCAATAGTAGCAAAGGGCCAGCAGTGCGTGCCACCAGGGCACAAGCGGACCGCATATTGTATAAAGCCGCGATCCGCCAGCGCTTGGAAAACCAAGCTAATTTATGGATATTCCAACAGGCCGCAGATGATTTGATGTTACAAGGAGATCAAATTACTGGTGTGGTGACGCAAGCGGGCATACGGTTTGAAGCGCCCTGTGTGGTGCTGACAGCAGGCACCTTTTTAGACGGCAAAATCCATATTGGCATGCAGCACCATGCAGGCGGACGCGCTGGCGACCCCCCTGCGCAAGCCTTGAGCGCACGTCTTAAAGAGCTACAACTACCCCAAGGCAGACTAAAAACGGGCACGCCCCCCAGGCTGGACGGCCGCACCATAGACTTTAGCAAATGCACCCTACAGCCAGGGGACGGCACACCGCAAGCGGTGCAAGCAGGCGGTAGCGCAAAAATGCCCGTCTTTAGCTTTATGGGCAATGCCAACATGCACCCCGAGCAAATTCCCTGTTGGAGCACTTACACCAACGAAACTACCCACGATATCATCCGCGCAGCTTTTGACCGCAGCCCCATGTTTACCGGTAAGATTGAAGGGGTGGGTCCACGATACTGCCCTAGCATAGAAGACAAAATCAACCGCTTTGCTGACAAAAATAGCCACCAAATTTTCTTAGAACCCGAAGGGCTGCACACCCACGAGGTATACCCCAACGGCATATCCACTAGCCTGCCCTTTGATGTCCAATACGCCCTGGTTCGCAGCATGCCCGGGCTAGAAAATGCCCATATTCTACGCCCCGGCTATGCCATAGAGTACGACTACTTTGACCCCCGAGCGCTCAAACTAAACTTCGAGACAAAAGCTATTTCAGGCCTCTTTTTTGCTGGCCAAATTAATGGTACTACGGGATATGAAGAGGCAGCGGCTCAAGGGCTATATGCCGGCATAAATGCCGCCTTAAAGATTAAAGGGCAAGCCCCTTGGGTGCCAGCACGAGACCAAGCCTATCTTGGCGTACTCATAGACGATTTGATAAGCAAAGGCGTAAGCGAGCCTTATCGCATGTTTACTAGCCGTGCAGAGTATCGTTTGCAATTGCGCGAAGACAATGCCGATATGCGACTTACCGAAATCGCCCACCAACTTGGCCTAATAGATGAAGAGCGCTGGCGCGCTTTTACGCAAAAACGCGAGGGCATAGAGCGCGAAGCCCAGCGCCTCAAAAACTGCTGGCTACACCCACGCAATACAGACGCACA